ATCGGCCAAAATAGGTTTGGACCTAATGGGCTTGCATTTTTCAAAGAATCAAATTTTTAAAGATAACAAGCTATGACAGTTGTTTTTTTTTTTTAAGAATTTTTCATGGGCCATTGGTGCTATTATCATGAACTTTTTGAAGAATTTTGTTTTATATGGGCAATCAGAGATACAATTCGGAATGTTTTAAAAAAACATTTTTTTTGGTAAAATATAGTCGTTAAGTTTTTATCAATATTTTTAATTTTTAGCTATAATCGTAGGGGTCAGAGAACAGTTTTCAAGACTCTAGTAGAGCAATAATTGTTTGAGTTTCAGATAAAATATTTTGATGTCATAGCATCCTTGATTATCGCTTCAAACTTTTCCTAAAAATCAAGGATTATAGCCTATATTGCCGTTGAAAAGTTTTGAAAAATTCAAGTTTGTGGCCTTTATGGTAATTAAAAATAATTTTTTTAATCCACGTCTACAGCCTTGATGGAAATTGAAGAGATATTTCTTCCATAAAATAACAATTGTGGTTTTCGATTTAAATATTTTTGGATTTATAAGAGCTATAAGTGTTATTTTTTATATAATTCGTTTTTTTCTTCGATTAATAGAAAGCTAGTAACGATTATTGCTTAATTTTTTGAAAGTTATAATCGTGGTTCATATTGTTTGCATATTTTATTAAAACCTCCTTTCCCTTTTTATGGCCTACCAAACCCCCACTCATATTAAATCCCTATCATCAAACTATCATTACATCAACCAATTTACACATTCTAGAATGTTACGCGTCAATGTCATTCCTCAACTATTATATTCTGGTATTTTTGTGGCCAATTAAAATACAATTAAAGCGGCTATGAATACAAAACTCACGCACCTGCTAATTTGTGACATTTTATTAGTCCTAGTTTTTTATTTGTTTCCCTTTTGGCTTGCTAGCTTGTTTTCCTACAACCACACGGCACCACACCACACCAGGTGATACCTCATGGCGTATGACAAATGAAATGACATTATCCAGCAAAACATCAAGTCATAGTGTTTTTCATAATTAATGATTTTTGTTGTTTTTATTGTGGTAGTAGTAGTAGTAGTAGTAGTTGTTGTTGTTGTTTGTGGCTTATTGTTAAAAGTCGTATCGTGATTGTGTTGTGGGGCGTTTACGCCAAAAAATTTCGACACCTCTTGATTTTCGCCTCGCCCACCCCTCATAGTTTCCTGTAATCGTCGATGGCGAGGAATACGTAACAAAACAAAAATGTAATAATAAATGGAAATGTAAACAAGAATTTGGAAGGAGACGAGGAGAAGCAGAAGGAAAATAACAACATTCATAACTACAATTAAATAAAAATTAATGGTTTGATATTAAAAAATAATTATGACAAATATAAAACAAATACCCACACACAGAGCACACAAACACCATGCAATGTTTTTCTTTTCGCCGTCTTTTCGGTACGTGCGTCAATATAGAGGAGAATTAACTAAGAATGGAGAGGTGGTAGCGGTGGTTTGCCTCTGCTCGAATTTTCTCTGTGTTGAAATAATAATTTCCACTGTTATCCCTGCCAAGAATAACACAAACAACAACTGAAATAATAACAAATGTAAACAAGTCGTAGTGCAAAGAAATAATGTTTTGGGGAAAACCGACAATCCAAACAAAAATATTTCTTAAAATTTTCGAATGGGAAATGGTTTAACAAACAACTAACCAAAAATTGCCAAACGAAGGAAGCATACGCGTAAATTAAAGTGGGGGAGGGGTGCAGAGGGGAAACCTTGGGTTTAGTAATGACTACATGACTTGTAACAAGGAAAATGTGGTTGAAAGGTAGGTATGTGGCTTTGATATGAATGAAATGTTAAAGTTTGGTATTTTTAAACCCATGGCATTTGGAAATGTTACATTTTATTCGGAAAATAGGAAACTTGAAAAAAAAAAAAAACATTTAATAAGAACCCTAATTCAATTTTTTTTTGAAAAACATGGAAATGAACAATTTTCCCAGAGGTGGATTTATAAAGTCTGAAGAGATGTTTAAAGTTTGCAATGGGTCTTTCGGGGTTTGTCAATATAGACCCATGTTTGAAATTTGTTATTTGAAGTTCGAATGAACACATGCATTCACTGAATATAGTGCTCTGATATTTCGTATTTTAATGGTTTGTGGATTTTTTAAATGAATAGTCTTAGACTTGGTATTTTTTTGTTCCTATTCTTAATTTCTTTTTAGGAATTGACGGAGCTGTTGTCTTAAAATAATAAACATAAATTTTTATAAACTATAATCTCGGATCGAGGTTTGTTCAAACTGAAGCCCCTAATGTAAAGCACAGCTAATCAGATACCCGAACTATTGAATAGGCGAGCTCAGAGATCCCCGTCTCAGAGTACTTACCGCTCAGAGTAGATATCTTTTGAAGAAAGTAGATATCTTATGAAGAGTTGCATGGCTGGATATTACTAAAGTATAGCTGGTGTCAGTGGCTTCTGCTGCATGTAAGCTGGCCTCAGACGCTGATGCTGTAAGCGTCAATACTACTGTAGAATAACTGGCATCATATACCAGTAGAACACTCTGCGTATGAGTGATGCGAAATATATGAAATCACTCATACGTCTATGATCTGGTGTACTGGTAGAAATGCTGGCCATAGAGGGCTATGCTGTGAAGATGAGCTGTCCTCAAATGTTATTACGAAAGAGTAGTTGGTCCGAAGGTCCCGTACTGTTGAGGGCAAATGTTTCAGACTTTTCTGCTGGTAAATTGCTTGACCTTTTGCTGATCAAAAAACTAAGTAACACGATGGCTTAAGAGCGCCGAAATATTTTTTTTTGTTTCCGTCCGCCTGTCCATGATAATTTTTAATTACTCTACCGGTCACAATTATCGTCATATCCACATGAAATTCTGCATGGAGTTAAAGTTAGAGCCGCGGGAGAAGACTTTGCTTCCGGAAAAATCGCAAGATATGAAGGAGTTGAGAAGGACGACGAAAAGCAGGGTCCATTTCGTATGATAAATAGGACTACCACAAACAGGCGTGTCAGGATTGACCTACACGATCCAGAGAGGAAGTCCAACGCCATAAGTGAGAGAGCCCCTAGATCAAGAAGCCTATACGGCAGGTCTGACTAACATCCTCGGATCTTCGGAGCCGCACCCATTCCACTGCAGTTGAAGAACTGAACAGCTGCCTATACAGATCAGTGTAGTTTTGGCACCGGATTAGGAGAAATCGAACCACTCATCTATAGCTAATACAATAACAAGAACAAGTCTTGTGTTGATACCCTCAGAGACCACATCGTTCATCGGCCTCAGAGGCCACTATAGTATGGTCTTTAGCCTCAAAGACGACAATTGAACAGAAGCTGAACACAGGGCCACCGCGGGGGACTAGCTGGTACCACTTTTATATGGGCAGAGGCCATTTCTATAATCTAGCAAGTCCCTGATAAGCGGTTTCTGTCTTATTACCCACCAGTTGGTGGTCCAGGTGTAGGTGGTCAAACTAGATTCGCTTTTCTTAAATACTACACTGTAGAGTATCTGGCCTCAGAATACCCATCTATAAAGTATTCGACTACAAAGGTAACATATATAAATATTTGGTCTTAGAGGCCAGTATTGTGCAGTATTTAGCCCCAAAGACCACCTTGTTGACCATAGAATCAAGGCGGTGAAGTATCTGGTACCAAAGGACACTGTAGCTTGACTCAAAGATCCCTGGTGTGGGGTTTCGTCCTTTTATCCCTCCTTTCCTCAAATACCACAGCTGTAGAGTATCTGACCTAAGATGCCCCATCTATGAAGAGTACGGCTTCAAAAGCCTTATCTTCTAAGTATCTGGTCTCAGAGGCGACTGCTTTAAAATAGATAGGCTCAGAGGCCCCTACTGGAAAGCAGCTGAGCAACGAGGCAATATTATCGTGCATATGCCCCACAGCGCCCACTGGAGTGATAACCGAATGATATATCAGCCTCAGATATTACTCCTACAGAGTAGCTGCTATTGGAGGTAATTTTTAGACATTATTCTGCCTTAGAGTCTATCACATTTTTAAAATTTACTGCTGAGATTCTGGTCACATATTGCCATTCTGTAGACTAATGGCTTTCGAGCCGTGTATTAGAGAGTAACTGAATTCAGAGAAGTCTCAGCTAAAGAGATTGGTTTCATAGGCATCTACTTTATTAGTCTGACATGTGGTATAGAGTAGCTGGCTTTTGAGTATTGTGAACAAAATGCAAGTCGCATTTTTTATCCGATGGAGATAAAATATTTCCAAATAATATTTCTTTTGCCCAAGGACGAACACTATGGGGATGGATGATAATCGGATCAGATTTAGATATAGCTCCCATATATCTTCAACTGATTCCAGGTTAATTGTGCACCAAATGGCTAATATTTTGCCCGCATATATAACCTCAACCGATTCCAGATTAATTGTGCATCAAATGGCTAATATAAGTCCAAATGACCTGTATTTTGATAATTCCCACCGAATTCAGTATAAAAGCAAGTACATGAATTTTGGAGAAATTCGGATATAGATATAGCTCCCATATATATGCTTCATCCGATTTGGTGTTTGAGTCTCTCAAATTCGTAATATGCATTCGGCAACAATGATATTTGGTACCAGATATCTTCTATTCTTCGGAAATACCTCCGCCAAATTTTATCAAAATCGGTTCAGATTTGAATATAGGTCCCACATATCTTTTTTTATTTCCTGAAAATTTAAAATTTTTTGGAAACTAAAAATATTTTGTTACAATCAAACCCACAATGGGTTAAATAAAGCAAAGCCTTGGTTGGCCTACAATTACTCAAAACTGAAAGTAAAATTTATGACATAAATTTAAAAATGTATGAAAAGAACAAAAAGAAACTGAAAATGAGTACAAAAAACAAACAACAACAAGAATATTTTCAAATAACAAAAGAACCAAAAATAATAACAACAACTAAATGGCAACACTTACCCGACATGGCAGATATGCGTGTGTACCAATTTGTGCCGTTACATTTGTCGTGGCATAACCATCCAAATATGGTTCCACAAATGCTGATGTCGATGCTGCTGACACAAATGTTTCTAATGACGGCGCCTCCGCCTGTACCAAAGATGCCAACGCCGATGAGGCGGCGGATGGTGTGAATGCCGCAACCGAGGCTGGGGACAATAATGATGACGACGACAATGACGAGAGTGACGACGTTAACGAGGACGCTGAGGGTGACGACGATGAAGACAACGACAAAGAGGACGACAACGAAGAAGAAGAAGAAGATGCTAATTTACTATTACTATTAATGCTTATGCTACCACCATTACCAACGCCACCACTACCACCACTGCTGCTGCTGATAATAAAATTGTTGCTACTACTGCTTTCACTGGTGCTGCCATAGCCATTTCCGCTTTCACCACCACCACCACTACCGCCGCCACCACTATTACTTGGATACTCTTGTGGCGCTGAGGCTATAACAAATTTTCTGATGACATCGGCTTGACTTGTGGCTGCAGAGGTTATGAATTGTTCGCAATAAGAACAAAAAGTACCAATGGCATAGATTTATTCAGAACAAGGCATTGATGTCAATGATGGTTGTTTCGTGGTCGGCAAAAAGAAGAACGTGTAGCGAAGTCCAGCCAAATTACATTTGTGAAGATACCGAAAATGAGAGAGAGAAAAAGGGAAAATATGGAAAAATTTATTAACTATCTTGTTTAATTATGAAATATATTTTTTTATTATTAAATTTTTTGCTTCAATGGAATAAAAAATTTAACTATGTTGTTGATATTGGATGTAAAACTAGGATGTAAAATGGGCTAGGTGTTTCTTGGGCAAATTCTGGCCCTATAGATATAGTAGCCTGCTATATAGGGTGAGAAAAAAACACTGCAACAAAGTCAAACGCCATAATTTGTACATTTTTATACCCTCCACCATACTATGGAGGGTATATTAACTTTGTCATTCCATTTGTAACTCCTCGAAATACTCATGTCTGACCCAACAAAGTGTATATATTCTTGATCAGCGTAAAATTCTAAATCGATTTAGCTATGTCCGTTTGTCCGTCTGTTGTAATCGCGCAATCTTTCGAACGAATTGAGATAGAAGGCTAAAATTTTGCACACGTTTTTATTTTTCCAGTAGGCAGGTTAAGTTCGTAAATGGGCCATGTAGGTCCACGTTTTCATATAGCCCCCATATATAAGTACCTCCTGATATTCGGTATTTTGATGATTTTAGCGAATTTATTCAACAGAATTGTTTCAACTTTGGTATTTGAAGTCAGCTTATGACAGAAAATTATCTGTGCAGGATCACGTATTCGTATAGCCCCCATATAACCGTACCTCCCGATATTCGGTATTTTGATGATTTTAGCGACATTATTCACCGGAATTGTTTCAAATTTGGTATTTGAAATTCGTAATGGATACTAGAGCCTATGACAAAAAAATTGTCTGTGCTGGTCCACGTCTTCGTATAGCCTCATATAACGGTACCTCCAAAATTCTGTATTTTGATGATTTTAGCGTCATTATTTAACGGAATTGTTTCAAATTACGTATTTAGAGTTCGTAATGGAAACTACAGTCTGTGACAGAAAATTGTCTATGCAGGTACAGGTCTTCGTATAGGCTCCATATATCAGTACCTCCCTATACTCGGTAGGTACAAAACCCACCGAATTTTTTTAAGATGTCGTATTTGAAGTTCGTTATGGATGCTATAGCCTGTGACAGAAAATTGTCTATGCTGGTCCAGGTCTTCGCAAAGCTCCGATATAACCGTACATCCCCATATACGATATTTTGATGATTTTAGCTACATTATAAACCATTTATTTCAAGTTTCGAATTTCAATATGGTAATGGCTTATCACAAACAAGGCCTATGTAGGTCCATGTCGTATCGAATGAAAACAACTAATATCGGAAATTGCATCAAATTTTAGAATAATTTAAGATTTGTCCGAATTGGTCCCCTTTAGCATGAGCTATGGATTTCAAACGGCCAATGGAACCGTCACACGCTGCCCGAATGTTGCTCTGCGTTATTTTGGCCCTTCCCAGGCGAAGACCTTGCTTGAGGTGAGGTGTCAGCCTTGCTTTACAAAATACTCCAGTCCAACGGATTGGTATCCGGAGATTTTGGGGGCAATTGTTTTCTTAGAAAAGAAGCGAGGAACCTCATTTTGTAACCATTCTTGGGTGGCATGTGCTGAGTGTGATAGTGCTGATTCCTGTTGTAATGTCCAAGGTCTGCGGCCAAAATGGCTTTAATACAACCTCCATAATATTTTTAACGATTGTTGATTAATACGGCTGTTATTGTGGCCCACACCATCACCATGGCCGGCGCTTGAGTTCTTGTGGCCAATCGAAGGTACACATTTTCAGCTGACCGCTTTGGCAAGCAAACTGCTGGACAACGAATGTTTTCTCATCAGAGAAAACAAAATTCGGCAGTTCACCACTTTCGGCCAAGCGAAGCAACTCTTAAGCTCTTTTGAGTCTATTTTCTTTTTGTTGCAGTGTAAGTTCTTGCACTTTTTGGAATTTCAATGGTCTCATTTTTAAATATTTGCCGAATGGAATATTGCGATAAGTTCAGCTCACGAGACATTTTTCGGCCACTGCGACGCGGGTTTCGATAAAATTGCTTCTTTAGCTCACATATAACGATACCATCGGAAATTATGCATTTTGACGAGTTAAGCCACATTTCCTGATAGATTTGTGTGAAATTTATTATTTGTACTACAAAATGAGTTCTACAATCGGCGTCGAAACATTGTCTATATTGCTCTCAGTTATCCTAGTCACATTTACCCACGAAATTATATAAAATGTTGCTTTTAATGTGTAATATTTTCAGAGAAATTATAGCACGTGATAATTGTCACAAGTCTTCTTTTGAAAGTAAGTCCATTTTTCAGATAGATTACGAGATGTGAGCCCAAGTCTTTTTTTTTTCATATTTTCCAAAAAACAATTGAAA